GCCACCCCTGTTAGACCCTGCGGAGACTAATGGGGCTTGGGGCTTTTGCAGGATCCGATGCCCCGGCCGCTTAACAGCGCTTGGAAATCACGAGTGGCTTTGGCCTGCGCTTATGTATTTATTTATTAGTTTAATGTCCTTTTGTAGCTGCACTCTGGATTGTGAGATTTCAGCACTGGTGATGGCATACATCTTCCTTCCTATCTGTAACGAATAGAAACTTTTCACCTAAAGAAAACCCAGCAACAGCAAAGAGAACATTAATTGAGCTTTTCATACGATCTCTCATTTGCAAGATGTGGGCCTTTGTGGGCCCACATCAGACTTGCAACCACTTTGTGAGAGCTTGTTTTACTTACTGCTGTTGCTGTTTCCTAGACTGCCTTTAATTTCCAGGCAGTTGAGATCCGTGCTCACGCTTTCAGTATTGTTCATCCAGGTATCGCAGTATTTCATTTTCACTGGAGCTACGCTGCGCAGTTGGATTAATAAGGACAAGGTGATCAGATCAACTGTTTTGTCTGAGTTGCTACATTGCTGCCTCCAACATCAGCAATACTAACTCAGTACGTTGGAGTAAATGAAATGGACTTCAAACGGACTTCACCTTTGCTTGCATCAGCTCTCCAGGGACTGTGGTTGTAAACTCCCATTCGTGCCCTGTTGTGCCTCCTTGTGACTTGTGCTACCTGCATGAGCAAGATTTATTCTAATGTAATTGGCCATGCCCATACTCCTTCTTTTGAAATAGAGGCATACATAGAAGGGTTAGCTAGCCAGATCTAAAACCGCTTCCTTCTTAATTTGCCCTGGGAATATTTGGTTTTGGGCAATAGGCTGATGAGAAACAAATTCAGATTCTCACTTAAGTCTCAAGGTTTTACATATAAACTAAGAAAGAAACGTAACGTACTTTGCTGTGTATTTTTGTTAGCACATCTATAAAAGATAGATACATCATTCAGCTACATTATATATGTGTATGTGTAATACAAAGACAAATTTATCCAAGAGCTTCCTCTCCCCTGCAGTCCTTCTGGTTCTGATCCTCTGATTGTCTCTGTCTCTGATTTTGTATGACTTTTCTGAGGGTACTGGTCACTTGAGGACTTACTTCCAAGTACTAGTGCTTTTAAAGGGGGAGCACTTACGTGAGGTATATAGGGATTACACGTATGGAAATAGGGTTGTTTTTTAACATACTAGTTAACATGATAACCCTATGAAAGCAAGCACAGAAACTAGTCAGAAGGCAAGTCTTCACAATACTTATGCTCCTTTTTACTTATTTCAGTGTATATTTATCTTTGTGCTTCTATCCTTATCTGCAGGCAGAGCTAGGCCTTAATGAGCACCACCAGAATGAAGTGATCAACTACATGCGCTTTGCTCGTTTCAAGCGTGGCCTGTGTCTCAAAACAGTGGATTCTTGTTTTCAGGACCTTAAGGACAGCAGGTACTTTGGGGGGTGGTTCTGGGCAAGAATAAAGCAAAATGTGCTAGCAACAATTGCAGGTTTAAATGCTTTATGGGGCGAGTTTCGTCCATTTACATTTGTATGTTCTTAGTGAGGAAGACAGACCCAATAATTTTCCAAATGTTACAAGTCAAGTCTTTTTAAAAGTAAGCTGTTCAAATTCTTAGGAATTAACGTAGATATCGACAGCAATGACATTGCTTTATATCTTGCTTCTGATGTCTAAATTTGATGTAAGACTGTAGAGGAAGTAAGGTTTGTGATTGTAATGTTTCCAAGAGAAAATGTAAATACCATAAGCAATTAGTAGTGCCTTGGTCATCTAAGAACTACTGACAGTGAATGTTTCCGGAAGGACGTTGCATTATATGAGTGATACCTGTGTAGTGAGGTCTCATAACAATGCAAAATTGTTACCTTTATCATACATGACTCATCTTGACTGCTCTGTTTAGACTTGTTGAGGAGACCTTCACAGTTGATGAGGTGATAGACATGTTGGATGGACTGCGGACTGTTGTACACAGTGAAGTGGAGTCAGAGCTCATAAATACAACTTACACCAATGTTTTACTTCTGCGGCAGCTCTTTTCGCAGGCTGAGAAATGGTACCTTAAGTTACAGACAGACGTCTCTGAATTGGAGAATCGGTAACATATATTGGACTGTATAGAATGCCTTTCAATAATAAGAAAACTTCAAAGTGTTAACTATTTGCATTCTTTTTCTAACCGTAGAAAGCTGTTCTTTTACTATTGTATTGATGATAGGTTAGTTTCAAGTCTTCCATCTATAAAGTAGCAAGATACACAATAATCTCAAATTTGTCAGGAAGATGTTTTTATTGGTAATATTCTTACTTGAATTAATCAGTTAAGAGCAGGTGATAGGACTTCATTAAAAAGCCTTTGTTGTCCGAGTAGATTATATTTTAATCAAGGATGCTAAATCTCACAGCTCTAATGCATGTACCATACCACTGCATGACGTGATCTGTTGCGTTTATTGTATTTGCATAGGACTTCATTCTGTACTTCTAACGAGAATCTTACATGCAATAAAGAGCATAGCATCAGCCTGATAAAATGTGTTTCATAACATAGCTCTTTTACTAAATAAGTGCCTCCCTTTATTTTTCTTTTCAAGAGAATTGTTGGAACAGGTTGCTGAGTTTGAAAAGTCAGAATTTACATCTTCGAACAAGAAGGTAGAGTTTTATTTTGATCAAATCATAATCAAATGTCATGTGTAGTCATGACAGGTCTTTAAAATACTTAGTACTGACTCTTTGTGCTTAAGAGAGAAAAACAAAACAAAAACAAAAAACCCCACCTTTTTTCAAAACAATCCTTGAAAGTCTCCAAAAAGTAGCATTTTGCAGTTCGGCACCAAGGCTTACGCTGAACTGCCTTGGCTGTTTCCAGATTGCGGATTCTGCACACCCGGGGCATGCCTCGTAATCCTCATCCCAAAGTCAGCCAGACCAGGGATGTGTTGGAGCATCTGCTCCTGGGTTCCCTTCCCCCTGGAAACTGGGGTAAGACTGGCATATTCACTTGTCCCAAGGCTTTGTGCCAACATGGAGTCAAGACCTGAAAAGATTCCACAATACAGATATGACTCTAGCTTATCTTGTATGATTATGGTTGCACCTTATTTGGTTTGTAGCCTAAATGCATATTTAGTTAATATACATTACATTTGAATACTTAAAATAAGAAAATTGTTTTGAGCTGTGTAAATATTTTTTACTCAAATATTTTTTCTGTTTTCCTTAGTCTTTTGTCTTTTCATTGCTGCAGCATCGGTAGTCTTTTGTAAATTCAAGTTTGCAATCCTTTTATGTCTCTATGCAGTATTTTTGTTTAACTTTAGCTGAAAGTGAAGTATATAACTTAGGAGCCAAGGTACCAGTAAAAAGTGAACTTGAAATAAAAGGTCATTCATTTGCTTTACAAAAGAAAGCTGAATTGACTGTCAATACTTTTCTTCCTCCTAGAAATCTGTATGATTTAATTTTTTAACCTTCATTATTTCTTTAGCCCAGTGCAGATCTCATTAAACCAAAACTGGCTCCGTTAAATGAAGGTGGGTCGGAGCTGCTAAACAAGGTAAGAACTTGTCTGTTCGTGCAGTTGTGGTTAATGACCATTCTGCTTATTCAACTGAACTGGATAGCTGTTGGATAATGTGCCTGTCACTATATAGACATCAAGGTAATACACCCCAGAATGTAAAGTAAAATGCTAATAAATTAATAAATATTGTAAAGCATCTTAAATTTATTGTGCAGTTATGGTCTCTAACAGGTATTACAATATTGACCTTCCTTTTGCAAAGACACTTTCGCTGTTGTAATTATTTATTTTTCCATTTAATGAGGTGCATTAGTGGAAGGCAGTATTCGGTTTGTGCCATGCAGCTGGCTGGCTCTCCAACAAGGAAATAAATTAAAATACGTAGCTGGCTGAAATGATCAGGTTATCGGAGATTTTCTGTATCACTCAAAGTCAATCCTATTACATTTCAGTCTTTTTTCTTTTGTTAGCTGGTTAAATTCCTTCTAAAGAAACAGGCACTTAAAGAATTTGGAATTTACTAGTTTTGAAAACGCCTGATTTCCCACTTGCTAAAGATTTTCAGAATTACAAAACACATTCTAGTATTTGATGTTATCAATAGTTTTTATTAGGTATGGAACTCGTTTAGTTCAACTGAACTTTTTTAAAATGCCACACTTCTTTATGTTATCTTTACACACTTCTAAGTTATGGGCAGTCAAGAAATTTAGCAGTTGCGTTTTCTGCCTTCTAGCCTGCATTACCAAAATGATCTGTGAAGTACAGTGTCTGAATCAAATTGTTGTTACCCATTAAGATAATTAAAGCATTCAAGAATTCAGACTTGTATTTTGCTTATAGGTCAATGTAGTTCTCTGTCAAAAATAATTTCAAAATCTGTTTCACAACAGTTTTTGTTGAATATGTGCATCTGATGTCTTTTTTTCCTCAAAAATAATTCAACATTTATATGGTGAATTTACTCTGACTGATAAAACATGGTTATTTCCTGTGACACACAACATGATATGCAGTAACCTGGTATTTGTCTCTTTTAAACAGGAACTAGGAATAAATTCTTACTTGCCTGTTGATTGAAAAGACAAATGTGAGCAGCAATGAGATTTGCGTCTCTGAACATGCAATTTTCTTTGTCATGAATCTTGATACTAAAAAGATGCTGAGCTTACTAATCTCAATTCAGTAAAGCATGTGTCAAATTTAAGTGAACGGTCCTGTATATTACAGTAAAATTGGAAACTTAAATTTCTTGCTGACTGAGGCAGAAAACACAATAAATAAATGGATTACTGACTTCTTATGAAGGCCATTTTTAGAAGCGTTTAGAAGCTTGTTTGCTTTCCTAAGCTGTGAAGCGTATTTCCTTACCTGAAGTATTTGGAAAGTTCAAAATAGCACAAGAGTTTTCACAGACTTTTTCTTGTTCATTAACCCAAAGACAGTTGCTTGTCTCCAAGAAGAAAATGAAAAATTGAAGACCAGACTCAAGACCATAGAAACACAGGTAAATTCCCTGTAAGCTTGGATACTTAACGCTGTTTGTATATTAAAAAATATCTGAATAAGAATCCCATGGTTATTATTCTCATGTTTTCAATTAAAATATGTTTCTGAGGTTTTACATTTTCAATGTATCACAGGCTACAGCTGCACTAGATGAAAAGTCCAAACTAGAGAAGTCGCTGAAGGATTTACAGATGATCCAAGGAGATCAAAAGGTAAATATAATTAAGATTTCCCGCACCAGCACGCCCGTTTAACACAACTGTTGCCTGTACGTGTAAGAAGGCGGTCTGTATGGTCTGTTTCTTTTCTGGTAAATATGAAAGTTCAAGTTAGTATCGTCATGTTCATGCTGACCTTGTCGCTGACATTGTCATGTTCCTGCTAGTGTGTCAGTCAGCAGATAACCCAGAACGTTAGTTGATTTTATGACACGTATTTTGTGTCACATAGACCATGATAAATTATTATCAGAAAGTATTATTCCAGATACCGTCAGGAAGTAGTATTTCAGAGTTCATATTGACAGGGGTGATATTTGTATTAACAGATACAAATTTATTTCTGTTTGTTTCTTCCCGTTTACTAATGAAAGGATGATATCTAACCTGGTTTTTGTAGCAACGATAAAAAACTAGTTCTTTCAAGCATTTGTCACACTTGATATTGACATGGACAAGCCAGACTTGCTGCTTCTCACTTGAGACTTTAAAAACCTAAATACTTACATGTAAGTGTCCAGTGTCCTATATTCTTTAACATCAGTTGAAGTTTTGCTACAAATGTCAATGATCATGGGTCAGATGACAAATGTTTGATTTTATGTAGTTCTACCCATATCAGCGTAGTGTCAAGAATGGCTCACTGTTTATTTTTACTACTTGAAGTTCTTAATCTTTTTTGTAAATGAGGATTCAAACATGGTGAGTTGTTGCTGCAGAAAAAAACATAAGCTAGAAGTCATGCAGGTTGACAGAAATAAATCTGTTAAGGTCACCTTAGTATTTTTTTTTTATTTTGTACCTTTGTTTTGTCAATAATCAGAATTTTCTAAAGTTTGTTCATGTGTGATTGTTTCTTAATTTAAAACATCTCAGTTCAAACTTTTAACAAAATTAGAACACTTTAATCCCATTATTTTGAGAAACTGACTTTTTAAAATTCCTATAGTATTTACAGATTTGGAAGTGAAGTTCAATATCATAAAACATTTCCACTTTAATTTTCATATGTTAATCCTGATTTCTTTTTATTTTGCTGTCTAACTGGTTTATGGTATGTACTTTGGCTTTCTTAATATGTTAAAATTTTATCTAGTAACTTTCAAAATCAGTATTCAATAATATTATTTAATAGGGAACTTGATTTATCAGTCATGGCAAATCTTTTCTGTATCTGTCTTGTTAAGCCTTAAATTATTAAAGGTTTAAAATATTAATGCGGTTAATTAAATCCTGCATAATACTGTTTGTAACTTTAACAGACTGGAACCAAATCATATCCTACTTTTCTGGTTAAGCATGAATTGGCCTCAATGTCAGGGCTGCTGAGTATCTTCAGCTTTCATGTCCTAATTTGCTATAATCTGTCACTTTCTTCTCCAGCTCTTACATTTTCTATTTACAGGCATATATATGTTGTTGAAACTAGCTAGCAGATATAGTGCTGAAATGTACTACTTTGTTTAATCGATTGAAGTATTAGTTGTTTGGAGAAAATGCTAAATTTTATCTGGTTTCACTCCGTATTTTTATAGGATGGGTGTCAATAAGATCATATGAACCCAGCTGCTCATTAAAGCAGTAGTTTTCAAACTCTTTGGACAAACAAATGACTGCCAAACCATAATGGTTCTTAGGGACCAACTCTTAGCTCAGCAGATTTCTACTTTTTTTTTTTCTTGTGGCTTTTTTTTTTTTAATAGTTTACTATGGTTCCACACACCAAGTGTGAACCATGGTTTGGGAGTAACTGCTCTGTTGGATCAGTTTAACTTGAGGATTTAGAATTTTTATATAATTGATTTATGTCACAGTTTAGAAAAACGATCACTGTCTATTCTAATCTGAAACATTATAATGTAGCGCTTTTCAGCACTGTAGCTTTGGACTCTATCTCAAAATTCAAAATAAGCTTTTCTTCTGTACAGGTATTATTATCAAGTGGTTTCCTACACTCAAATCTTACCTTCTACATAGAAAAAGGAGCGGAGCTTCCTTAGTTTTAGATTTTTGTTCTTTTTAAGGTGCTGCTGGTTCAGCCTTATCCTGAGTCATTATACGTTTGAGAGTTTGAACTTGAGCTTTTAAACCTGAGAGGGTTTTTTTTTTAATTGAAATCTGTAGAACAGTTACATGAATATAATGTTTTGTGACCCAGAACTGATGGCCAGAAGTGTTTGGGTTGTTTCTTCTTACAGGGAAACAGCAAAGTTGCTTCACAAGCAACTGGGGAGGCTCTTTTTGTAATGCATCTGAGAACAGTGCAATATCAGTAGCTGATTGATAATATGAGCCTTAACACTTTCATCCTTTCCTACCAGTATTACAGTAACAGCTTTTGAAACGCCTGTGATTTATACCTGCTTTAAAAATACGTTATAGCACAGGCATTCAGATCTTAAGCTGTAATTTACTATTTCTGTATGCTAAATAACTTATTGTGATATGCTTCACCCTGTGGCTTCACCTAATTCCTAAAAAAGTGAAAGACTTAAAAAAAAGTACAAGAACTTGAAATCTCAACGTGGCAGAGAAGACATTCCAGCCATGTTTAAAAGGCATTTATTAACAATTTTTTAAAGTTATAAATTAGTTAGTGCTTTAACTAATTTTTTTTACTTAAAGCACTTCTAATTTAGGCTTTATAGGAATAATGTGAACACAATTATTAAAAATTAAGATGTACCCACCTTATGTGGAATTTTGCACTTGACAGTTTAAATATTTCTTCTCTTGCATTTGAATATTTTAAATATTTCTTCTTTTGAAGATTAATGCAAACCAGGATATCACTGAACTGGAAAATAAAGTGGCAGCTTTGAAATGCCATTTTGAGAAGACTTTGAATGACTCTACTGCAAACCAAAAATTCTTGGAAGAGAACTTGGTGACCACAAAACATGACTTGCTTAAGGTTCAGGATCAGCTATCCACAGCTGAAAAGGTTAGCTTTTATTGTAATGTAAAGATGAGATCTTTACCCATATTTTAACTGATTAGTAATTTAACAAGCATACACTACAGGATGCAGAGTTTACTGGGTCACGCTTGTGCCAGTGTATTTTTGTTATTTCAGTGGAAAAACACGTTATACGTAAAACAGCAAAAACACAACTAACTGCGTGATTATAACTAGATGAATACTTAAAAATTGCCCATTTGTCTGCATAGAAATTTTTGAATGAAAAGTGTATTCCTGGTCTTCAGAAGACTTCTAGCCTGATTTCATTAGAAAATAAAGTTTGTGTTTCTCTGTCTCTCCCAGTAATACCATTTGAATCTACTAGCTGACTTCATCTAAATTTGAGTAAGTTAGATAAACTACTATTCTGAAACTGAGGAGGAAAAGCAAGTCATCTTTTTTAAAAAGCGTATTAGCCTGGTTTTCATAATATGTAAATAATATGTTGATGTTATTATTATGTAGGAATTAGAGAAGAAATTTCAGCAAACAGCTGCCTATCGCAACATGAAAGAGATTCTCACTAAGAAGAATGAACAGATAAAGGATCTACGTAAAAAGCTTTCCAAGTAAGTGATGCTGTTCTGTCTGTTCAAACAGGATCCTTGTTCTGGATCCATGTTCTCCCATTTTGTTTTTATAAATGTGAAGCTGTCTCTAAAACATACTATAAATTTTCCCTTAAAAAGAATTTCTAGTAGGCTGTTCCCTGATTTTTGACAAGCCAATCCTTTTAATGGGTGCTAGGTGAATAGGACTGATGTGTGCGACAGCAGCTGCTGTGTAGCAAGTAATGAGAGAATTTACTACGGAGAGGATATTAATGGGTGTGGTAGATAAGCCCCCAGGTGCTATATGCAGAGGTACAGGTACGAGATGTATTGGATGCTTTGGCATTATCTTATTTCTTCCACGCTTGTTTATGGGAATGAGAAGTCCACTGTATGTAAGCAGGTTTAGGCCTGTATTGAGTAAAGAAAGATGCACCCTGGCCATTATATTGCATAGAAGACTCGTTCTGCAAATGTCATGTGAGCTTTGGCAACATGGATGCCTTAGACCTATGCTGTAGGAGGACAGAGGTGGAACTTAAAACTTCTGTTTAAACTTCTGCCTGTATTTTGGGATTTGTGGGTGAGTTCCTGGTCATTCCCTCATTCTACTATTTGGTACACTGGCCGATTTTAAAAGGAGAAAATAGTCTAAAAAGCATATGCGTTTGTCTGTGCCATAAATCATACAGTGAGCCTTGATAGGAATGCGCCACTAATAGGACTAATTTATTACTTGGGTTTCTTATTTTCTTTAGAGACAAAATGTCTCTTGGTTTTTTTCTACTCTTGTTTTAATGATTTTTTTTTTAATTTTTTTTTTTTTTTTAATCCTCAGATATGAGCCAGAGGACTAAAACTCCAAGAACATCTGATCTATCAGAAGCTGCCATAGGAAGAAAATGTAGACTGGTATTATTTTTCAATAATTTTTGTTTTGAATGGTATATTTTTTGCTTCTAGTGCTTAAAATAACCTTTTATTAATACTAATAAGATCCTGAAACTCCTATCTTACTCCCTTATAAACCTACAATTTATAGGTATTAGTTTCTATAGTCGTGTTTTTAATTGTTCACCACCGACATTCCTTGAGAAATGGAAAACAGGAGCTTATTAAAGTAAGACCATTCTCTACAAAGAAAGGAGTTTATTTTTGTTAAGAAAAGAAAAATAGACAAAAAATAAGTATTAGAGTTTTTTTGATGTCTCTGAGGTGGAAACTCCCGTTGTTACTTTTGTATAGTTAATGTAGCCATGAAATGGCATTACATGTGAAAATTGCATTAGTGGAAGTAAAAAGTAGGAGGAAAAAAAAGAAACACACTGATTCTGTAATGTTATTTCACACTGGACATCTCATACCTCAGCAAAATGTGGTCAGTAACGTTTTGCTAGAGGGTGTTCATTAGATAGTGAGGTAAATATGCTTTATAGTGGAAGCGCTGGACCTTTTCAAATAAAGCCACTAATTGGAGTTATACTTTTTCACTTGAATTTATTTGAAACAAATTTGAACATCAGAATATAGATTCTGATTTTGCCAGTATTCTTAACGTTAAGATGATAATCTGAAAAAGCATAGGGAAGTTGCTAATGGAGAAACTTTCTTGGGAAATAAGTTATTTGAGATGTTTTCATCTCCTTTCTTATTGTAACCTGAGCAGAAAACAGCTTACTTCTCTCAAGTCTTTTGCTTGTAATCCTCTGCCTTGCATTTATCTGGAAGCCTCTAAATAGTGTGTTCTACTTGTTCATCTGTCCCTGTTCATATGTATATTGTATTTTACTCCAAATAAAACCATTATGTTTTCAAACACTTAATCTTCAAGGAGCTGGTTTTTTTTAGAGGAATGTTTTGTATAGCTTTTTTTTTTTAGTATCTGTAGAAAGGAGTGGCAGATCAATAAAGAATCTTGCTAGAAATGTGAACATGTAAATTACAGATTCATGCCCAAAGCCACACCACGTCAAACAGCTGTGTACCAGTGGCAGGGCTGGGAAAAGGCTGGTGTGTGTGTATGTTACAGAAACACATTTAACGCCACTTGCCTCAGGAGCTGCTTGAACTGAAATGGATTGTTTTTCCTCATTCGTTCTCAAATGGGCAAAGTTGTTAAAATTGCTCAAGCAGTGATGCCCCAGTCAAATCTGCCATACATTTGCAGTCTATAAATTCTTTTGTTGTCCTTTTTCCCCCACTGGTTAAGCAAGACCGGTTTGGGATAAAGTCCTGTATCTATCATGATATTATCGCTGTAGCATGATAGTAGGGCTTTATGGGGTGATATACGCCTCATGCAGTGTCAGTTAAATCTGTGTTTGCTCAAAGCAATTATGTTGACACCAACAGGTGTACTTGTCTGGGTGAATATTGTGTGTTTCTTTGTAATGAAACTCATTTTAATGAGATCAGTTACTATTTCTAAAATGGCAGGTAAAGTGTGAAGAAAGGCAGAGAATCTTATGATTTCTGCTGGTTTTCTCTTTTCTGATAAATCTTTGGCTGTTGACTTAGCTAGAATATTGTCTTTGTGATAGGCCTTCATTATCTGCTTAGAAACCATTTTGACAAGAAAGCATGCTCTCAACTTCAGAATATGGATAGGTCTCAGTGAAATAAGTTGGCTGTAGGCAAGTGTGGTTACGGACCTTGTTATCTCCTCAAATGTGTAAGGCAAATCCTGTAGAGAACTGTGCAGCACAAAATTGAAACACTGACTTTGATTACCTGTCTTGCAGATTGCCAGTTTAGTGAGTACAAGATCAGTGTGATGCTGTCATCGGTTTGTGTTGCATGATGGCTAAGGTAAAAGGTCTTGTGTGGAGCTCTTGAGAAAAAAATACATCATCTGTCAAAGATGATGTACTTGTCAAAGAAGACCTGGAGCATTACACAGTAGCGATTCTCTTTTTTCTTGAGATAGATACAATATTTAGAAGATGGAGAGGGCATCTGAACTTCTCCTGATTGTGTCTGATGTTTCTAAAACTTCACTTCTTTCCCTGAAGTGTAAATTCTAATACTGCTTTTACCAGCCTTTGTTTTTCAGAAGTTCGTTATACTGCTCAAATAGACATCATCCGTTTTTTCCACTTCAGCTGTTAATTCCCTAGTTATGCCTGAAAGGAATGTTCAAAAAGAAAATTTCTCTATAACTGGCTGATCTGCAGGAATCAAATCTCTTTCAAGCTGGGTGGGGTTTTTTTGCTTGCCAACTGAAGCGTATTTTCTACAGGAATGAAATCTAGGCAGCTCAGCTTCACTAGTATTGACTCTGACAGCTAAAAAACCACCTTGTGCTGTAACGGTGACCTGAGTTCAGCAGTTGGTCATTAATGAATGAGCCAGCAGTGCTGCATGCTACCTTCTTAATGAGACAGTATATTACCTGATGTTCTGTCACTGTTCCTCAAGTACTCCTTAATCTGTTTTTCTTTTGTGGATAATAGCCTTTTTTTTAATGTCCTAAGATGAATGCTAATATATAACACTCACTTAAACGGCAAGTGCTCCTCTTTATTTGATAGACCAATGCAAGGACAGCTGCAATTTGGACATTTCCGACATACCTTGCTTTTGGGAAACACAGAGTCATCTGCCAGGCACTTAGATTTCAATTCAGCTTAGAAGTTCTTAAGATTCCTCAGTCTGATTTCCTCCTTTTGGCGTTATCAAGGACTGCTCTTGGCTTCTGCGTGATACCAAATGCTGTCAGACCATGGTCAAATGATTCTTGCTGCCTCAGGAAACAAACGTGAATTATCTTGGGGTGTCATGTGGCTGAATGGATCAAGCTTTAAAAGTTTGAGCCGTTCTAGGAGGCCAGGCCTTTTAAAATACGTTAGAAGACAATTTAACGTGCTTTGAAGATAAGTTTGTATGTGAGCAGGTAAGAATTGTTATTGTAATTGTTATTGTAAATGTTTCTAACTGGCTTTGAGCAGAGACTGTGCCCACAGGAATTACCCTATGACTGTTAATTTTGACAATGTCCCAGTGAAAGCGTTGGCCCAGGATTTCTGCCCTGCTCTGGCCGCCTACAGAACTCTCCCTAACGGCACCTAGATCTGCCCTCCTTATCAGAGTCTCCTCTCAGACATACCCTGAAACATTAGGCAGCCTATTTGGAGTCAAGTCTTCTCCAAATAAAGGTGGGTAGATACATGTCATTCTATTTCATCAGTCTTAATATCTAGAGACACTGATTTTTATAATTTTTTAATTATTATTTTTAGGAACCTGTTCATGTAGTGTCTTGGAGTGTGTGTTGTAAGTGATGGTGATGCTGAGTGGTTGGCGCAGGACTCCGACAGGGCAGCTCACAACCGACAGCTGCTGGTGAACAAGAGAGCTGCCTGGAGACCTCCCTAAACTGCAGGCAAGCTTTGACAGAGAGAAAGCATGAACTGGCAGGAGACAAGCAGAAGAGCTGACTGAATAGGCCAGGTATCCTTTTGATTTTAGTGAGATGCCAGTTTGTGGCTCTCTTGCTTTACACAAGCAGATTCTGAGGTCTGGGTGAATTAGGTGCAATTCTGTGATTCAGAACCGCATTGAGTGCACCTTTACGGATGGAGTACCCTAAAAAACCCCACAGTTAGAAGATGGATAGAGCTGTGGTGCTAAGGAAAAGCAAGGAAAATAAAAAGAGGGACTCCTCAGGCATGCTTTCTTGGGGATAAGGCCTCCATAAAGATGCTTTATATTATTGATCTCTGGGGACTGAGAGATGTGTCAAAACTGCAAAACAGTTTTAAGGGTGATTAAGGGACTGGATATGACTTCAGGGTACAGACCTCAACGGCATCATCTACAGTTAGGAACCAAGCAGCAAGTAGTAGTGATGAGCTGGGAGGAATAATTGCAATCCTAATAACTGCTCACAGGAGTAACTGTAATCTCCAATTACATGTAGAGCAATTGTCCAACAGTTGTCATGGCCTGTGAGTTGTCAAAGATCTGGAAACCCAGCTGGATTCTTTCTTTCTCCTAAAGTAAGGCCACATGGAGCTTAAAGTAGCAACTGTGAACAGTGAATCCAAACAGAAAAACTGTTATGTGGGGGCTGCAACTCTCTTGGCTGTATATCTGCTTCCCTTGATAGCATCATTAAACATTTGCTGAGGCTGTAGAGACTCTTCCATCACTTCCCTTTGATAATCATATAATGCGCTAACACACAGCATGTTTCCATTTGTAAGGGAGTGCCTCCAGGAATGGCAGGTACTAAACACCAGAGCTGGCCCCTGCTGACACTTTGTCCCCCTCCCACATATCTGGCTCATCAAGGAAAGCCCAGAGAGTTTATTTTTAAATCTAGGGGTTATAGACCTGCACTTGGGTCACAACAATCCCATGCAACACTACAGGCTTGGGGAAGAGTGGCTGGAAAGCTGCCTGGCAGAAAAGGACCTGGGGGTGTTGGTCGACAGCTGGCTGAACATGAGCCGGCAGTGTGCCCAGGTGGCCAAGAAGGCCAATGGCATCATGGCTTGTACAGAAATAGTGTGGCCAGCAGGAGTAGGGAAGTGATCGTGCCCCTGTACTTGGCACTGGTGAGGCCGCACCTCGAATACTGTGTTTAGTTTTGGGCCCCTCACTTCAGAAGAGCAGCAGACCTTCCTTGAGAAGAGCAACAAAGCTGCTGAAGGCCCTAGAGCACAACTCTGATGAGGGGCGGCTGAGGAAACGGGCCTTGTTTAGCCTGGGGAAAAGGAGCCTCAGGGGAGACCTTATCGCTCTCTACAACCACCTGAAAGGAGGTTGTCGCGAGGTGGGTGCCGGTCTCTTCTCCCAAGTAACAAGCGCTAGGACAAGAGGAAACGGCCTCAAGTTGTGCCAGGGGAGGCTTAGATTGGAGATGGGGAAAAATTTCTTCACCAAAAGGGTTCTCAAGCATTGGAACAGGCTGCCCAGGGAAGTGGTTGAGTCACCATCCCTGGAGGTATTGAAAACACCCGTAGATGTGGTGCTGCGGGACATGGTGTAGTGGTGGACTTGGCGGTGTTAGGTTGGCGGTTGGACTCGATGATCTTAAGCATCTTTTCCAACCTAAATGATTCTATGATTCTGTGTTGGATGTAACATAATAAAGTCTAGGCTACCTGGTGGAATTATCTAGGAGTTGTCTATACCAGACGACTTCCGCTGCTGCTTATTTATTATTCCTTCCTCCCTTGTTTCCATCTCTTTTGGCAATCGATCTGTTAAGCTTCTCTCCCACCCTCGAATCATGGTCCCCAACCTGTTGCTAGGACGCCAGACTCCCTTTTTGTTTGTGTTTTTAGTATCTGGGAGAAGCGCTTGGCTTCTTACTGTGCTGGTGTCAAGAGACACAAGCCCAGGATTTTCAGTCGGTACCTTCACCTAAGTACTTCCAGTTTTGCCTCAGTGAGAAATGGGATTCTCTGCTTTGTTTACCAGCTTCTGATTAGATTTACATAGGGCAGTTCTCATGCTGTCCCATCAGTCCCTGACCTGCTGTGGAGATGAACCCCTACCCTTTATCTCCCACTTCCCCCAAACCCCACACTCTCACATTTGTTAGGTACCAGGGAAAAAATTTCCTTCTAATCCTCCTTCAACATGACCAGTGAAATTATCAGAAGTTCTTGCATGTGTCTATTAGAGGCTTATCTTTGTCCCTGCAGATAAAGCCCAAGTCCTCATCCAACCCAAAGGAAGGAAGTTCAACGGAGATGAAATCTTGAATGGCATCAGAAATAGCATATTGATTATCTGAGGTGTGTATGGACGGTCCCACAGGAAGAATCTGTAAGTGTTATCTGTTTTAATACCTTCCAGTATATTTAAAACCTGTCTCTCAAGGAGCCACTGGATGACAGGCACTTTGCTGGGTGCCTGTGTGCGTGACTGCCTTTAAAAACTCATAGTAGTTTGTGATCCAAGCTGCTTATGAGACTGACATTTGTGAGAGAGGCAAGGATTCATTTCATTGCATCAGAACTTCCTGATCTGGCCTCACGCGAGCCACACCCCTCTGCCTGCAGTGTCTCCCTAGACCATTAGTAAACTGGTTTGAAATGTAATGGGAAGGAGGTACAGAGCCAAGGAAATGTTTAACTTGATTATGCTCATCAGTAGCAGTAATCTATTCACACAGAAGCATCCCAAGTGCTAGTGATGTGCTATTTTTAAGGCTGTCCTGTCTGCGAGTTATTAAATGCTGTAAGTTATTTATAAGCATCATTTGTAATAAATCCCACAGGCAGTGATGGACATTTAACTTTTTAATAATTTGCAAAAGTTTTTGTGATGTGGGACAGTTAACGTATCTGTAGCTTCTCAGTGTGTATCCTTCAGTTTAATAGCTTATGGACCTAAAATTGCCTTGGATTTTTCCTTCCATCAGAATTCAGGGTTACCCATGAGACGTATTTCCAGGGCTAGCTGGCATGTTGCAATTCTGCGGGCAAGACAGGAACAGCAAGGATGTTGCAGAAGAGCCACGAGCTCCCTCAAAACTGTACTCTGGGAGGGTTTGGCAAACCCTGATGTTTTCCAATGACAGCCTCCATTTCCAGCAGCGCTAAAACTCACAGTGAAGAATGGATTCACTTACGGGAGGTGCATAAACCTTTTGCAGTCACCTTTTCCAGCATGCAAAAAAGTGGCGTCCGACTTTGTGACTTTGCTACTACAGGTGGCTGGTCAGCAAGTCCACCAGAGTGGTTCTGCTGGTCTCAACAACGCTGCACGACGTACTCTGCAGTTTGGGCTCATGTCCAAAGGCCCCGTGGTAGGGGTTCTCACCTGTACCCACAGCTGGATGCCTTGGCTCTGCCAGTGCCTGGTGGGATGCTGGAGCACACACAGCACTGGCAGGGAGCAAGTTGCTGGCATTGGAGGAATGAGACTGACAGCAGCTGAGTGGGTCTTATTTGTAAATGACATGAAAGGCGCCCAGTCCTGGTGTGAAAGAAACCACGTTTAGACAGAGGAAGGAAGCTGAGTCCTTGGACTTGTTCAGCCCCTTTTTATTGCTACAGATGCTGCTGGTAGCCTCCTTCACTGGGAGACCTGTCTGAAATGGTTGAGCTCAAAGTGTACCTTGGCAGGGACCCAAGTGCACAGGGTTCACGTTCAGACCTGGCATCTCAGTGTGCGTTCAGATGTCCCAAAGGCCTCCTAGGTCCTTCTGCCTCCACAACAGAACACAGACACCTTTTCCCGGTGGCCTTTGTATATATTTGGTCCTTGCTGTTTGACAGTATTTTAAAACAGCAACCCCTCGGTAAAGTTCATCTGCAGCAGCAGGGTTTGAGCATGAAGGTAAGTGAAAAGAGACTGGGCTATTTTGCACTCTCTCACATACACATGTAGAGGGAGGGTAGTATTCCCGGAGGGTCAAACTTGAGTGTTGTACTCAAGGCTGCAGTAGGCTGGGGACCTGCATGGCTGATAGGGACTGTTTCAAGGCCACTTTTGGAACTGGGGAGTGTGCTGGGCTGGTTGGGGTGAGCACCAGGTGCAAGTGATGGGATGCCTGAGGACCCGTTTAGGGCAAGGGACACTGGGAATAATAGCCAGCTCTGACAGCCACTAAGCCCGGTTCTAATGGTGTGGGAACCCCTTCCCTGTTCTATCAAATCCAGGCTAGTGCCTCATGCACACAAATGCCACTCCCAGGGAAGAGAGCCCTGTGGGGAATGAGTTTCCCATTTCCAAAACCAAGCTGCAGCCCCAGTGTTATTTCTTCCCTGTGTCAAGTCGGTATGTGAGCTGATAAAAATCCCTGGGCTCACATCCTTCCCAGAAATGCCGGTCAAAACCCAAGCGGCTATTCACCCACAGTACCAATTTTATAGTTCTGTGTGTGTCTATAATCTATTTACCAGCATTCCTACTTCAGTATGTGCCTGTTAATAAGATTAGTAATTAAAAAACCTAATAGGAATTGGCAAGCATAGCTCCTCCGCCTTTCCCTCCCCTCCAAGCCGGGCTGGCGTGGAGTCTGAGGCAGGGCTGGCAGAGTACCTGAAGGAGTGAAGGCAGGAAGGCTGCTGAAACCTCTGCCTGCAAGTCAGCAATGGAGAAATCCCGGCCACTATGGGACAATCCCCTGCAGTTTGTTTTCGCCTGCATTTCCTATGCTGTGGGGCTGGGAAATGTGTGGAGGTTTCCATACTTATGTCAGATGTATGGAGGAGGTAAGTGTGGCTTAATGTTTCTTGCTTCCCTTGAGGAGGAGTGTGGCAAGCTTTAAATCCAAAAGTATGCTTTCTATGCTAATGCCCTGTCCACCCAGCAGGGTCCAGAGCAGAGTAGGAGGTCAGGCTTTTTGTTGGTGTGCAACCTCTTCTATTGCTGCATTATTTTACATATTCTTTAGCATAAGGCTTTTACCTGACAGCTGCCCCAATACAGCAGCTTTCATTTCCAAGAAGTGCAGTGAAACAGTGCGAAGGACTATGTTTTCTGAAAGGATGGAGGTAGAGTGAGAGATGTAGGTCCACATGGTATTAATTAATTACTTTCTTGCCCCATTGAACCACTCCGAAGGCATCAGAAAACAGTTTTGTTAGTTCACTTGGAACATACTGAGAAAGGGAAATGCTTATGCTGATTCAATTTAAGGATCAGCAGTATCATTTCAAGTTGCTGTCATTAGTGTGTTGTCTTTTATACAAAGCCTTACTTTAGGAAGTGATAACTTGGCTGCAAATCTGCCTTGAAGTTGGCTGAAACTCCTTAATCAACAGGAGTTCCACAGCTAAAGCCTCCTGGGAAGCTTTGAAAACAGGGAATAGATTGGTTACGGTTCAGAAAAAAAAAAAAAAAGCTCTCTGAAAGTTTATCCTCCTAGGTCCAAACTGGAGAAAGGTGATGTCTGTATCATACCAGCCACAGATATTCTTCCTTAGAAATCAAAAGCCAGTTAGTTAATTAGATTAATTAAAACCTAACACTAATAATCTAGTATATGGCTACCACTGGTTAATGTCAGTGTTTTGAAGAATCCTTATAAAAAGCCTCTCTTTATAAGACACCCCAGTTTTATACTGCTTCTCCCACTGCATCCGTTGTCGTGGTGTTGGACCCATCTCAGCCGTGCATTAAGTGACATGATGAGTTCTGCCTCATTAGCTTCTGGTCTGCTTCCGCCTTTTCTTCCTTTCAGGAAGAAACACACTGAGATGTTTAAGTGGTTTTTGCTTGTTTTGTGCTTGTTTGGTTGGCTTGTAGCTTACTTCTAAATGCACGTGTGGTGGTAGGAGTTGGTTCATGCTGGTTGTTGAAAAGCCAGCTCTGTGCTGGGACGGCATCAGAGCTGCTCTGTGGGATCAGGTCAGAAAAATCCAGATAATACACTGGGTGAAATTACAGTAGAAGCTAGATGCTGCAGTGGCTGAAGCTTTCTTAGATGTTTCAGATAGCAGAAGCGATAGATGTGCAGTAATTCTGGGTGTGTTGCTCTACACACATGCTTTTGAGGGTAAGGACTTCATATCTGATACTGAACTCTAGCACAAAGCTTAAAATGCAAGTGTTTCTGCATGCAATTAAACTGCACGTGGCTAGTTCACTAGCAGCCTGTCTTGGCAGACATCCTGAAGGACAGCAAAACTCAAGACACAGGGATCTTTGCGTGGTTTATCCTCTCCTTATCAGCCATCAGTAGTGTAGTAGATGGTGAAAATTCTCTGAAATGTAACGAAAACTGGAACACTTGATTAACCAGAAAAAAGATTCAATAAACCCAATTATTATCTGAAAAGCATGTTTTTATAAAAGTAGTTTCTTCACTACTTTTGTCCTTCCTGGTTAAATTTCCCAGGGGAGAGGCAGCTCTCCCTACTGTGAAACTAAATTCCTGACAGCAGGCTTTGCTTTTCTTAATTGTTTTTCACTGCCCTCTTAAAAAGGATTCAGTGGCTTTCCAGGGGACTGCAAAACCCCCGCAGACAAAACATCGTTTCAGGAACTTAAAAGCTGAATATGCCAGGCACTGGGCTTAGGGGGGGCGGCAGCAACTTCTTGTTTGGCACCTTCCTTGTAGAAAAGCACAGAGCTGGTCCCTGTCCGGCCCAGCAGAGCAATAGAGCCCTTATCACTGATGATACTCATAAACAGGGTATTTGCTGAGTTTACAGCCTCCTGCTTTTCTGTTCATCAGCATATTGCCTCCTTCTTCTTCCTCACTTCCAGAGAGCTTGACCCGAACAGAGCAAGGGGGGTTCAAACCTTGTAGGTGCAGTTAGTCTGTAAGCAGGCTGGGCCAGGCTGAAATGACACTGGGATGGGTTTGCAGCAGGGCGGGTGCTCAGCAGCACTCAGGCCTGAGCGAGGAACCCCTGGGCACCAGGCGGGATGCTGAGCAGAAGCCAGGGTGCTGCTGGCCAAGCCTGGTGCCTCGACCACACCCGGGGCACACTCCACATGTGCCAACTGGAGGGGTCTGGCCTGGGGGCTGGTTTTCGCAGGCGGTTGGCACTGTAGGGAACAACGCTGGGTGTAAATGAGCAAGGGAGGTCAGTGGAGCCGTGCTGGTTCACAGCAGATAAGGAGCTGGTTCATACAGCTGCCCTGAGTCACTTACATGAGGCATTTTGGTTCTACCCTTTAGGAAAAGTAGCATCAGGAGCAAGATCTGCATGCAAACAGGGTGCAGAGCAAGGGCCTCAGCCCCGGCACCCCCAGCTGTGGGGGAACACTGGGGTGAAGAGCAAGCCTGGAGGCACTCCTCCTCCTTGCAAGGTGGCAAAGCCAATGCCAAGCATGTGTCAACAGTGCTGGGAGGGCGGAAGAGCCTTCACAAAGGGCCTAATGCTCATTCCCCCTGCAGTACATGGCAAAACTCCCCTGGGCGGCTGCTGGGGCAGCTCGCACCCCATCAGGACAGAGCGGCTGCAGGAACTCTTAAACCTCCGACAGCTCCCTTGCAGTATAGGAAGTTACCTAACAGACTAACAAAGGGTTTGTTAATAACGATAGAGCCGGGAGGTGGGAAATTAATTCCCAGAATAAACCGGATTATTGCTCGGTGTTTATTTCCAGTTCTTTGCTTCAGTTGCTGCCCAGAGTTCATTCCTCTGCAGTGCTGCACCGAGCCCCTTGCAAGGAATGTTAATGCTGCAGATTAAATCCTAAATAAGAGATATTTACGTAAATATTTTTGGCTTGCTGTAAAAAGGGAAGCAGGAAAGCCTTCGCAAAAATCCAGTTTTTGACTCAGTCAGCAGCTCTTTCTAAAGTGAGCTCCAAGTCGAGGACAAGGATATTTTTTTCCAGCAGAAATTTAAGCCGAAGTGCATCCTTGTTGCCGGGTGGGAAGGTCCTTTCCCCTCCCTTGCCACCTGCCCACCTGTTCCTGCTGTTCCTCCTCTGCAGGAGCATCCCTGTGGCTCTCCGTGCCAGGGAAGCAGGGACGAGCAGATGTGGGGCAGAGGGAGGCCGTGTGCCTCTGTCCCAGGGTCTGCTCCCACAGATGGGACCCCGGGGGAAAAGCCCTCACCCCTTTGCTGGCATTTGCGGGCTCAGCATGGGTTTTGGGGGAGTTTTTCATAGTTTTGGGGTTTTTTAAGCCAGGCCAGACTTCAATATGTTGCAAAAAACTCTATTCAACGCAGACGTTGCTGTTACTTTTTCATCGAGTGCTTAGGCTCTGCCGCAGACTGTCGCACACGAAGTAAATCTTTCCCTCACCACCTTTCCCTCATTATCTTTTACGAGGTTTGGCTGGCAGTTGGTTACCCTTTAACAGCCCCAGCCCCGAACATTGCTCAAACTGCCTGCAAAGCACCTGGGCAGCCCCATTGCACCGGGGTGGTGACCAGCACATTTTAACAGCAGATATCCCAGTGCTGCCAAGGGCCCGTGGAAAATTCCCTGCGCCCAGGCACTCAGTGCCCAGCAGCATCTGGGATGCCACCTGAAACCCCATGACATGTCCCTCAGGGTTGTGCAGTGCCCTCAATACACAAGGTCCCCGGACGGGACCCAGCTCCAGCCACCTCCTGGGACACTAACGGGGCAATTTGACTAAGAATAGGGCAACCTGGTGTTTATTATGCTGCTGATCTGCTGAAGGTCATCTGTTGGGTTTTTCTTGCAGGCGGCTTTTTGATCCCATATTTTATCATGCTGATCGCCGAGGGGATGCCGCTGCTCTACCTGGAGCTGGCTGTGGGGCAGCGCATGCGTCAGGGCAGCATCGGTGCCTGGAAAATAATAAGTCCCTACCTCTGCGGTGTCGGTATGTTCTCAGTTTGGAACTTTATTTTTAAGTGCCTGGGGAAGATGGATGATTTTGAATGGAGAGCTTTATCTTTCAGAGCGGAAACCAGGCAGGAGCTGGAGTTTTACTGGGTCTCACCAGGCTGAGCAAAGCGGTCATCCAGATGCCCCATGGCATGCATTTACCCCGTCCCTCGCAGGGCATTGGGGCCAGACCCTGGCTCACTGTACCAGGTCCCTGGCCACGGACGTGTGAGTCCCCCTGCCCTCAGGCAGACTGCCAAAATCACAGCATGAAAGCCAGAGCTTAACCCAGCCCCTGCGGCTGCCTGCACTGGGCTTTGACCCCAAGAGCATCATCCCGATAGGCTCAACATTGAGTGATATATCAAACGGTGTCTTAATTTCCTACCATTGCTGCCTACCGTTTACCAATGTCCACTCTCAGCTACATTATTGTTATTAAATTACCCCGATAGCCCAAACTATCGCTAATTTGTTTACGTGCACATTTTATTTTTAATGATACATTGAATATTCACCCCCCTCAGGGGCTGAAGTATAAAATCCAGTGCAGGATAGCCCTGATGGGAGGAGGAGTGGGCTGCAGCGGTGGGGCATGCCCTTTGCACAGGGCCATGCAGAGGCAAAACTCCCACCCTCCGCCCCCCGCCAGCTGCGGTGCCTCTCCGGGGCGTTACGGGACCCTGGACATTTCGGGGTTTCACCACTGACCGAGCACCTCCCTCCATGCCCACAGGCGTCGCCAGCGTCATTGTCTCCTTCTTCCTCTCCATGTACTACAACGTGATAAACGCCTGGGCCTTCTGGTACCTCTTCCACTCCTTCCAGGTATGTGGGCACCTGGTGGCACAGCTCAGCCCCACCGTGGCCGCAGAGGGTCACAGTGGCTTTGCATTGGTGCTGGTCATTGCTCAGCACCATTGTCAGCTGGGGGGGAGCAAAAGCTCCAGAAATCCACCCAGGGCTTTTCTGGGGGGAAAAATGAGGCAGTGGTGTCCCTCTCTGGGGGCTCCCTAAGGACATCAGGGTGTCTTCTCCTCTCCACGAAACGCAGGTCGAGGCCAGTCCCGTGATCCCTTGCTTGCGTGTGCCTTGGTGGCAACGGTGTCCTGCACCCTGGGGTGGGTCTGTCCAAAGGCAGAGGAGATGGTCGGCCCTGGGGGAGAAGATCAGGAGGGTCATCGCCAGGGGAGAGGGTCAGAGAGGCTCAGTCCTCAGGGAGAGGGTCATCCCCAGGGAAGAGAGGCAGAGTGGGTCTGTCTTTGGGGAGAGGGTCAGAAAGGGTCATTCCTAGGAGAGAGGGTCAGCCCTCAGGGAGAGGGTCATCCCCAGGGAAGAGAGGCAGAGTGGGTCTGTCTTTGGGGAGAGGGTCAGAAAGGGTCATTCCTAGGAGAGAGGGTCAGCCCTCAGGGAGAGGGTCATCCCCAGGGAAGAGAGGCAGAGTGGGTCTGTCTTTGGGGAGAGGGTCAGAAAGGGTCATTCCTAGGAGAGAGGGTCAGCCCTCAGGGAGAGGGTCATCCCCAGGGAAGACTGTCAGGATGAAGGGAGAGGGTCGGCCCCAGCCCCAGGCAGCACAATGCAGGGACAAGCAAGCCCCAGAGAGAAAGCCGCTCTTGCCTTCATCCCCCCCCAGCTCCTCCCACCATGCTGACGGCGGGCACTTGCCCTGCACCCCTCCCCTCCCTCGCAGGACCCCCTGCCGTGGGCCACCTGCCCCCTGAACAGCAACCGCACCGGCTACGAGGAGGAGTGTGAGAAGACGTCGTCCACCCCGTAC